ATGAGCCAATTTTCTGTGAATTTATTTATGGCTAAACATGATACCACAAACAAATGCTCCTCCTGATGTTGATCATCGACAACTTTGGCTTTAGTTTGTTGTTGTTGAGTCTTGCATATCTTTTCCATGTGCCTTAACTGACCACACTTAAAACAACGTGCATTAGGACTCCACCAGCATTTATTCTGAGGATGATTGTTTTTTTTGCAGTGAGGGCAGGGAGGAAAGCTTTGAATGTTGCTGGTTTTATTGTTTCTGGTGTTGAATGCAGAGCCTCCAAACTTGTTGTTCTGTTTTTTTCTGTTCTTACCATCACGGTTGTTTTGAGACTTGACAAAGAATGCACCCTCTACAGTTCTTTCTTGCCTCATCAGCCTCCTTTGCTCTTGTGCTTGTAGTGCATTCAACAACTCTACCAAGGTAATGTTTGACAGATCTTTAGAATTTTCTAAAGATGAGATTGTTGTCTCAAACTTCTCTGGAATTGTTACTAGAATTTTTTGAACAATTCTAGAATCAGAAAAATCAGTGCCAAGAAGTCTTACATTGTTAACAATGCTAAGAAGTTTGTTAAAATATTCCTTAATTGTTTCTGATTCTTTCATCTTTTGTAACTCAAACTCTCGGATTAAATTTAGCACCTGCATCCCTTTGATTCTCTCATTTCCTTCGTATTCTCCTTTTAGAAAATCCCAGATTTCCTTTGCTGTTTTGAGAGTCATTATTCTTTAAAAAATGGTGGGTGAGACTGCTGCAAACAAAGTTGCTTTTGCTTTCGATGTTCTCTGCTTCTTCTTTTTATGATTTTTAATTTGTGCAACTGTTGGATTGTCTGACAGAGTTGGCACTTCATATACTTGTTCAACTGCTTCCCATAGATCATTAGCATCAAGATAGGCTTCCATTCTAACAGCCCATACTTGATAATTGATCCCATCAAATACTGGAGGTGCAACTGCAGTAAATGGCATTTCTGAATTCATACTGGATGTGTTGTGTTTAGATGAAAAATATTTGAAGATTGTATTTAGGCTCTCTCAATCTCACAAGTGTTTAAAGGTTGTGTTTAGGATCTCTCAATCTCACAACTCCCTCAAGAAAATCTGCTCTGATACCAATTTGTAGTATATATTGAAGAGAAAACAAAACTTTTATGTTGTAGTTGCAGCAGAACACACTCCTTTATTCATTTTCAATACGATTATTTATACAATAAGGAATAAACAGAATTGCAAGATATTCTCCTAGGATATCTGATTTTCTGTTACATGGAATAAAAATAGTCATTAGACTAGTAACAAGAAACAAACTCTAATACTGTAAACAAACTCAGATTCTGCTGAGATTTTATTTTGCTTCTAGAGTCATTCTTGGTCAACAATTCTCCTCCTTGACTCTGAAACTGCAAACTCCCAACTTCTGTCTCAAATACTCAAACTTAAGCTTAGGAAGTGCTTTTGTTAAGATGTCTGCATGTTGTTCCTCTGTTTTGCAGTAGAACAACTTTACTTCTCCTTTTTGTTGAACTTCTCTTAGAAAGAAAAATTTAATCTTGAAATGTTTTGTTCTGCCATGAAATACTGGATTATTTGAGATCGATATTGCAGCTTGGTTGTCCACAAACAGTTGTGTGCTTTCACTTTGCTTTAGATTCAAATCAGCTAATAATTTCCTGATCCAAACTACTTGGTTTGCAGAGGCAGTGGCAGCAACGTATTCAGCTTCTGCTGTAGATTGAGCAACAATTTCTTGTTTCTTTGAGCTCCATGAAAAAACACTTGAACCAAAGCTAAAACATAGGATTTTTTAATTTCCAAAGAAACAAAAGAAATGACAAATAAAAATGGAAGGAAACCTTGAATCTAATACTTTGCATTTGTTTTCCCTCGTTGTGCAACATGAAGACTTGAAACAGACCCATTAGTTGAATTTGGCCATTAAACTCGATGATACATAAGCAAATAGCTAGCAAGAGTTATGGACCTGAGCACGAGAATTGATGTGGCTAACATCAGCAGCAACTCCAGGAGTGTTGGCTTTGTCATAGAGGGAGAGAGATGAGATTAGTGGGTTTAACTTCAAAAGCAAAGCCAACGGCTGCCCTATGCCAACTGCTGCACCAAGTATTGCCACTTTGCGTTCTGGCCTAGATTCTGTTGATGAGTATGATCGGCCAACAAGGTGCCTGGATGTGCATGGCCTTAACGCTGCCCTAGAAGATCTTAACACTGCAGCCTATATTTTGCAAAAAGAGAAGGAATGGAACAGGAAGAGAGTGGTAGAAGAGAAGACTAGTTCATAGTGAGTAATCTCTAAAAGCAAAAGTTTTTAATTTGTGGTTTTGGTTGGAGAGGTCGCTGCCACTCTGTATGCTTTAGAGCATGAGCTTGAGTACGTCAGCTAATGCAAGCATTTCCCTTCACGCCCGCGAATAAATTTCGTGCCAGCTTTTGATATTATCTCCACGGGTGCAACCAATTTTCCAAATTTTGTTTAAATTAAAACAAGTCACCAAATCTTTGTAGTCTGCTTCCGTATGGGTAATAAGAAAATGGCCAAGAAACTAAGAAAGAATAGCGGAATGGGGCGGCGAACTCAATTCAAAAACCAAGCATCATGGTCCAAGGTTTTAACAAGCTGCACACGAATTGTCTGAAAGTCCATTAAATCCAAAGTGAAAAACACAATCACTACAGGATGGAGCACCATCGTGGGATGAATTGGCACTACAATAACCTCCTCCCCATAAACGGCAACACTGTTTCATCACCAAATATTATAATCTTCTTTGTAAAATGCAGTCGTATCCACCTCATTAATTCATTTGTATTTCCTCCCAATGGCTCTAGAAAAATCAAAACCTTTCTATATAGAACCAAACTAATAATGTTCTTAGCATTACGAGGCACAAAGAAGGCAGAAAAGGGGTGGAGGAGAGAGATCCTATGCCGAAGGATGCACGCTTCTGTCTCATCTCTTATTTTCTTACTACAAGGCATGCATGTTCTTATTTCTAACAACGAAGTTATAATAAGCAATTGAGCTACCGAATTTTTATGTCAACGTACCTAAAAAGTGTCACTCGGAGATCTCAAAACATCTGGGAGCTGAGTGCATCAGCATATAATCCTTGTGTATCTATCTCCAATGTTGAGGGGGCTGTATCGGAACTTATGGTCTTGAGAAAGATGAGTTAGTAATTAATTGATGGAACAGAATCTGGAGAGGTTCTATGAGCTCTGTAAATAGACCAGAACATAAAAACTGAATTGCAGAAGCTAATCATAAAACTGAGTTCAACTCTATATTGCACTTTGCCATACATATATAAACAACCTCATCGACAAGACAACTAAATTATTTCACATTACATATCCAACTCCTTTCTATAATTGATAGAGTGCTATAGAGTTTAAACTTCATTATGGATGGGTTAGAGTTGGAAGCTGAAAGCAGTGACAGGACTAGTAACAATTTCATACAAAGAAACGAATCCCATCTTTCCTCTTATTTCTAGTTATAATGTAGAAAGTGATGTCTAGGCTCGCACAAATGCTATAGCATTAGCTCAATTACTGGGGTTTTGGAGGTCTGCCGGTTGCGGCTGAAACTCGAGGTGCCCACTCCAGCAGCTCTTTGCTAGTGTCATCCTTGTGCACGAAAATCTCAATGAAACAGAGAGAATCCTTTTGTTCTCCTGTTGCTGTCGCTATTGCTGCTGTCAATTCATCCTCCGTGCGCACCTGTATTTCACATCATAATCCATCAGCTTATCTTGAAGAAATCAATCTCAGTCATTACTTGCGAATTCGCTTCATAAATTTGTCTTTTAGTTTGTTGAAAGTATATATTGCCACCCTGTTCTATGAGGTTTGCAATTCAAAGAAGTTTATGGTATAGGATCACTTGTTCTTTCTTGTGGTTATAGAGCTATAACTCAAGGAGTCGATAGAAATTACTCAATGCTGCAGTTGATAAACGATGGGACCATGGGAACAGCCGAAGGGAAAATTTTGCTAAAAGCACATTAAAAATAAGTTAAGGGGAACAGTCTGAATTTGAAGCAGAAGTAAAAATGATTTGAGGGGAAAAACGAATATCTCAAGTCTATTTATGCTAACCTTTGCTGTCCAGCATTTGCCTTCACCATTGTGGATGGCATTAACAAGGCCAGTGTAGTCCCAGTTCTTGATCACATTGTAAGGACCATCATGAATCTGTACTTCAACCGTATAACCTCCATTGTTGATGAGGAATATGATATTCCTTTGCCCACATCGGATCATAGTTGAAATATCCTGAGCTGTTACCTGAGTAAGGAGAAAACTTTTAACCATATGGTACAACTTACAAATTCTGCATTCATCAAAATGAACCAGTAAATTAGCATAGAGAAGTTATAATCATGACTAGACCACGATCAGGATTTGAAACATTTTCTTTAGGTATTGCTATGGGTTGTAGCAATAAATAACAAACTGTAACCTATTTCAATTTCCCTGACGCTATCTTTATAACCACAGTGACAACGTCTTCTATACCCATAATTGAATACTGGTTTACAAGTGACAGAAGTTTTGGCACTCAAACAGAGTAGATTTTTTTTTCTTTTTCTTCCCTTTTGTATGAATATCCTTAACGCCACATGATGGTGAAGAGTTTCCAATCATTGCAGATGACATACTGAAGTGTATTTCAAATGGCATCACTCGCCTGGAAACTCCCATCACCTATACAGGCAATAACACGCTTATCTCTAGCTGCCTGAGCATAACCAAGAGTTGCACCAACTGACCAGCCAATTGATCCATACTGCATCTGAAATTCATACCTGCACAAAATTGTTAATGAACAGTTACCAACCTGTTTAAACTTAAATCATAGAGGAGCTTAAATTGCTCTTATTAAAGACTCCAACTTACCCACAGTTCTCAGGGAGGCAGAGTCTCTGACAATTAAACCATGAGTCTCCGGTTTCAGCAATTACAGCAGAATCCCCCCCTAACATGTTCTGTTGAATGTTCAATTTTGTTACAACAATTGGAAGCAAACAATAATTAAGTAGGAATAAACAAGAATGCCGATCCTAAGTATTTACTGTTCAGAATCTTCAATCAAAACTCATTTAAGAGACCTAGCTATCCATGTTATCATGGTGACTAACGCCATTCGATTACATGGATGGTGAAATGGCAGTGGATGCACAAATGACCTATACAAGCAATTTTTCCCCCCTTCTGAAATGAAAAGGGACATAAAGGAAAGAAGCCAGGACAAACATGCAAGATATACATTTAGACTTTTAATATTCACAAGAAGCATATCTGTTAATAAACAAAGGAATTGTTTATGCCTCTGACATAATCCAGTTAGAAATATTGCATCACATCATTCTTTTTTAGCCTTACCTGAATGTGCTTGAAGAGTACATTGACCCTAAGAGGCTCATCTTTCTCACGCATCAAAGGCATGCCAGGAGGGTAAAAGATGCGTCTGTAATTTTCCAAAGCTGTGCTGTTTTTCTTCAGTTTTTTGGACAAAGCACTTAAGAAGTCAGCCATTAAAACCCATCCAAGCGAAGGGCCATTGCCAATAGTCACACGATTAGGCTGCACTACGATTGATTTCTCCTTCTTGATCAGCAAAGAATATCCAACAGAGCTTAAATCATTGAAGATGGGACCAACAAAAACATAGGCATCAGCAGACTCTACTATCTCCACACAGAAGCTGGTGCTGACAGCACCCCAATATGTCCCTATGAAGTGAGGGTGGTGCTCTGGCACTAGCCCTTTCCCAGAAGGCATGACAGCTAAGGGATATCCACTGGCATCTGCTAATTCTATGAAGGCCTTCTGCGCCTTTGCTACTCTAAGCTTGGGTCCGCCAATTATGACAGGCTTCACAGCTTTATTCAGAAATTCTGCAGTTGCTTCAACAGCTGCTTCTAATCCTAAATAGCTGCTGACCCTGCATGAAAAGCAAAGTATAGCTGCTTCAATATCTCTATAACAAGTATTTCATACAAGTAACGATTTTTAAACAAGTCAAAACACAATCTCTTGAACTATAATTTGTCCTTGTCTATCAACAAAACTGGCCACCAAACCTAATTACTAAAAACAAAATCTAATAATGTGTCAGTTCTTTCTTTCTTTTTTCCCTTTTCCTACTTTTCCACTTTGAGAGAAAGGAACTTCACCGATCATATTTAACGCTATAATTAACAACTAACCAAAAACTTCTCCTCCAAAACACATTGTATCTGCTTAACTCTGCTTCAATTCTACCCCTAAACAAAATCCATTTGTTAACTTCATTTCACTTTCGTATGTCAGCATACTATAGCAGCCCAGGGTGTTGTTCATGTTCATGTTCTAAGAGGAAAAAAAAAAAAAAACTCTGTTTACTTTTTTCTGCAAGCATTTTATGCACAATTTCTTCTTTCTGCTCATGATCGTCCGAGCTATCTATATATTAGTTCATTCCAATCACCATTATTCACATTGCTTTTAATCTATCATCATCCTACTTACTGTAATGTTTTGAATTTAAGAGTAGGAAAAGACAATAAAGCTCTTGGAGGATTAAAGAGTAAGTATAAATGAACGAGGGACAGTGTGATTATTGAATAAAAGTTGATAAATATAAATACCAAAAAACAAAGAAAGACTTGAAATTAAAAGTGAAAAAAAACTGATAGGAGAAGAGAAGAAAAGGGGAAGAAGAAGAAGAGAAAAGAGAGAAATTAGAAGGGAAATAGAAATGAGTTGAAGGAAATAAGTTTAAAGGTAAGATTTAGGTTGTTAAATGTATAAATATATGTTATTAAACTTTAAATTTTGATTTTAATGAATGTTAGGGTTTTGAGAATTGTGTTTAGGATTTATTGATGAATTAATTTAAATGTTATATAGTTGATTACTGTGGGTAATGGATTGTAAGTTGAATTACAAAGATTGTAGATAAAAATAATGATTTTGAGTTATGGTTTTGTTTGAATGGTGAATTTATATTAGAAATCAGGGGATAATAATAGGTAATTTATAAAAATTCTGGGTTTGAGGTTGAAGATGATGAAAATTCAATTTGGTCCCTCAATTTGCAAAAATTATAGTTTAGTCCCCAAACTTTGAAAAATTACAGATTGGTCCCTGGAGCATATTCCGAGATTCTGAACAGAATAACATATGCATTATGGGCAGAATTACTGTATAGTTATAAAATTTTAAAACTTTCAATTTGGTCCTCCAATTTGACAAAAATACCATTTGACCCTAAAAATTTGGTAAAATTCCAGAATGGTCCCTGGAGCATAATGAGATATTCTGGATAGAATTGAGGATTAATTATAGTCAGAATTTCAGTATAGTCATGGATTTATGACAATTTTAGTTTGGTCCTCCATTTGACAAAAATTACAATTTGACCCTAAAAATTTGGAAAAATTCCAGAATGGTCCCTGGAGCATAATTAGAGGTTCTGAACAGAAATGATGATGAATTATGGATATAATTCCACTATAGTCATGAATTTATGATATGTTTAGTTTGGTCCTCCAATTAGACGAAAACTACAATTTGGCCCTAAAAATATGATAAATTCCAGATTGGTCCCTAGCTGTAGTATTAGCTTTTTGAAATTGGTTTGATGAATAAATGATGGTTATTTAGTGAATTATTTTCAAGTCTTATTATTTGTTTCATTAT